TCGCCGTGGGGACTTAGGCCAGCCCTGTGGTCTGAACCGCAGCCGGAACAGGAAGAGGGGGCAGAGGCTGCACTGACGGAATATCAGCACGCTGTCGCGAAGGGACGAAGGCCCCCCTCCGCCTCCCGCTCCCACAAATCCCGTGTCCGGAAGAGGGGGAATCCAGGGCAGAGGGGGTTATGGCACAGCAGAAACAGGACGCATGGAGGCATGCAGAGCACGATCACCGCCAGGAGCAGGAACCCGCGGGTACGCCGATGCATGTGGTGCAGGAGCAGCAAGGGGCGCGGCCGGAGCCTGCACATTCACAGGAGCTAGTGCGGGCGCAGGAGCGGCGGGAGCCACCGAGCTTCCAAGATTCGGTGCGCCATTCAAAGCATTGCGCATCGCCGCAGCTAACATCCCCGGGAAATCTTCGCGCAGTTGCTGCATCTCGCTTGGTTCACCGCGCCTGCGATCGTGACCTCCCCACCAGCCACCGAGGCCTCCGTGGTGCGCCGACCGATGCGACGAGGAGGGGCGACGCCGAGGAGAACCACGCCCCCGATGCGCTGCCGCATTGCCCCCCGCGGCACCGCGTATCTGTGACTCCGCGAGCCGCTGCGCGATGGGATGTACCAGCGCAGCTGCAGGGGTCACCAGGTGGGCAGAGTCAGGGCCGGCGCCCACCACTGTCCCCGGCGCAGGGCCCCCAGCGACAGCTTGGACAAGCGACGGCGCCACAAGCGACGGCTGCGCAACGGGAACCGGCGCGCCGGACGCGGGAATAACGGGTGGAACGCTCAGTGGGGGAGCCGGCGCCATCGGGACTGGAAATGAGGACGTCGCAACAATAGTAGGAGGAGCCGGGAGGGCAAACGGAACAGCAGCAACAACAACAGCAGCGACAGGGGCCGGAGGCGGAGCAATTGCGCTCTCAGCGGTGTGACCTTGGTCCACCGCCGACTTCTCCGCTTCAGTCGCCATTATGGCGAACGCGTCGGTAGCAGGCGATCGAGGACGCGCGGTCGCGTCAGGACGCGGGAGGAGTTAGTCGCGGAAGTCCTCCGCTGGCCGCGGCCAGGGCGCGGACCCGCATAGGCCGTGCCGGAGGTTGCGGGCGTGGCAGAAGTACGCGTGAGGGAGGTCCAGAGAATGCGTTCCAGGCGGCTGCAAGTAGGGCTTTAAACGAGCTAAGAAGAACTAATGAAGCAGACGTTTTGTCAGGGGGTATTTATGGGGCGGAGGAGGAAGAAGCACACATGAGTCCGAATGCCTCGAGGGAGGCTCAGTCATAAACTCCTGCTCGGCAAAGAGGCAACTCAACCCACGCTCGAGGCGGGGCAACAAATTTGAACAACACACCCACCCAGCCGCGACCCTCCCCACAGATTCGAACCACTCCCAACAACCCTGATACCACTGCCAACCATCCCGCCCAACCAAACCTGACACCAACACCTGCAATTGCACCACGAATTGCAGCGAGGGGTAACCAGCGGCAGTCACAGCTCCTCCCCCAGAAATCGCCCGAAGCCCTCACCAAGGATGACACGCTTTTCGCAAGCGTCAATGACTTGAATCTGGACAAGCTACGGGACAGTCGCAATGCACCTCTGGCACGTCGCCTCCCGGAAAAACTCCGCCTGCTTTTCGCGATGGTATTACTGACACCACTGCTGCGACTCGCCGACGATCCTGATTCCATCCAGGCCTGGACGGTTTTGTTGTTTGCCGCTCGCCTGACGCTTCGCCAGCAGTCGCCGAAGCATCCTGGCTAGAAGGAGACCAGGAGCCATTTGCGTAAATTCCTACGAGGGGAGTGGGAATCACTTCCACAGTGGATTCGCTGGATCTTCCTCCCCCCCCCCCAAGGCACCAACCAGATGACATCGGGGTTATCTCCATAGCTGAAGGTCTGGCGCGCCGTGGCAGTCTGCGGAGAGCTGTCATGGCACTTGAAGCCACACCAGTCAGCAAGCCGTCGCCAGAAATTCTGGAATCCCTACATGCCAAGCACCCAAGTGCCCAGTGCCCTGACGCACCGTGGTCCCAGCCTGAGCCGGACTCTTACCTGTCAGTATCGTGGGAATTTTTCTTGAAACTTCTCTCGAAATGTGAGAACGTGGTAGGCGTAGGTCCCTCAAGCATGACGTTCGAGCACCTGCGCGAAGCTGCCTTGTTGCACACCACGGTCTGTTCACACTTACATGCGCTAGTCAACACAATCCTTCGCGGGAAGCTGCGCAAGGAGGTAGGGGGGCTTCTTACCGCATCATGGCTGATAAATTTAGACAAGCCTGACGAAGGGACCAGGCCAATAGCCATAGGCGAATGCATCCTACGACTAGCAGCCAAAGCAGCGCTTACCTAGCTAGCAGAAGCGGCCACAGAATTTTTCTTACCTTTACAGTTTGGAGTGGCCGTGCCGGGAGGATCGGAAGCACTTATCCATGTCATTCGAACATTCACCTCGGCCAACTAGGACGCACTAGTTTTGCAGGCCGACCTAGCTAACGCTTTCAATAGTGTTGACCGCCACTATTGTTCGCGCCGAGTGTCCTACTTAGCCCGCACAACTCCCCTTCCGTCCCTGCCCAAGGAGGACTGGTCTGAATGGGGGAGGCGACTGCTGGAAACGTTGCTCACGGCATGTGGCATTAATCACCCATGGGGGGACGAGGAAATTTCACGCACGTGGGCGCAGGCCTCTCTCCCCGTATCACTCAGTGGCCTTGGGCTGACAGACCCATCCGTGGAGGGAAGCTACAGCTTCCTCGCCAGCTACATGCAGGCCCAGCTCCTACTTGACTCCCTAGAGGGCGAGTGCACTGGCCCACTGGAGGCCACACGTGAGCTGATGCGCGGCCCCTACACTCAGTCCTCCCCCTTGACCGAGTGGCTAGCGGAATGCGAGGAGGAGCTTCCACTGCCGGCCCAGGAAGCCTTGCAAGCAGAGAGAGCAGCCCCAACTGCAGGAAAGCTGCAGCACGGGCTGGCCACGGCTATCCAGGGCCAGCGCTACGCTGTCCAGGTGGAGGAGGTGAGGAGGATGAGCCCGAACCCAAACAATGGTCACACGCAGCGGATGTTGTCTCTGTCGGGGTACGGGGCGGGAGATTGGTTAAACGCGGTGCCCCTCCACCGCGCGCTACACCTTGAGGCTCCACATTATGCCAACGCGCTCTAGTTTGGGCTGGGGCTCCCTTTTGCAGCTCCCGTGGTTTGCAACTGCTCAAAGAAGGTGGAGATTCCTGATAGCCGGCTCCCGAACCACCTGCTACGATGCGGTACAGGGGGGGGGGGGGGTCGCACAAACATACACAATGAACTTAGAGACGAATGCGCGCGAATAGCGGCGATGCTGGCTTCGTGGTGCATATCGAAACGGCCGCCTTCAGCGCAGTGGAGGAGAAGAAGGCGGACCTGGCCCTACGCTGCCGCTCAACAGGTGCTGTCTACATCTGTGATGTGACGGTGACAGACCCCATCAGCACCCACGATGAGAACGCAACCAAGGGGCGGGGGTGAGTGGCACTGGAAGCGGCAGACAAGAAGCACGGCCTCTACAAGGACCGCCCAGGGTTGGTGAAGTTCTTCCCGCTCGCGGTTGAGACATATGGGTGCCCATAGGGCAGAAGGATGAGCAGAGGGCATAGGGCTAAGGTATCCTCTCTCTCTCTCTCTCTCTCTCGCTCTGAGCCGCCGAAAATGAAACCACAACGAAATAATGAGGAGAAGCAACCTCAATCAGCCCTTAAATAGGCCGGGAGGGCAGAGAGCAGAGGGAAGAGCAGATGGCATAGGGAAGTGAGGAGGCTGAAGTGCCTCCGTCAGGAACAGAAGTGGCTCATCCGCAGCAACGTGGTGAGAATACTGCGTCGACGAGCCACTACCCGCAGCAAAAAACTCCACCCCCGCAACAGGCGGAACCGGCGGCAGATAAAAACGAGAATCGTGGGGAGGTGCCGAGGCGGCGGGAGCAGGAGCCGGCGGGAAGTGAAACGGAGGCGGGGGTGCAGTGACAGGAGGTGGATTGAAGGGGAGCACAGCCTGTCGAGGAGCCTCAAGGGCTGGCGAGGCGCGCATCGAACTACTCTGGCTCTGCGCCGCCCTCGAGACTTCCCGCTGTAGATCCGCCATCGTCACAGGCAGGCGGTACCCCCCACCACCGCCATGCCCGCGGGGACCCCTCTAGTCCCTCTGACCACCAGGGTGAGCAGGCCAGTGCATCTGCTGCTAGTAACGTCGTGGAGAGTCGCGCCAGCGACGAGACGACTTGCGCTCCGAGTGGGGCGCGGGTGAATGGGGCCGAGACGGGCGACGGTCGGGTGACGGGGGACGTGACGGCTGACCTGCCGGGGCCATCGGCGTCACAGCGAGCGCAGATAGACCCGGCACTGCGGGCGAAATCGACGGAGCCGGGACGCCAGTGGTGGCAGACGCTGCCTTTGGCAACAAAGCAGAAGCCGGAGCAGGCTCGGCGGGGGCAGAAGCGAACGGCGCAACGGGTGCGCCAGGGACAGGAACCGGGGGATCAGCAACGACACCAGCATGCGCATATACTGGCGGATCAACAACGGGAGCCGGAGGAACAGGAGCAGCAGCCGGAGCAGAGGGAGTAGCAACAGGCTCAGACTGGACAGGGGCAACCACTGTGAGAATCCCATAGTTGGGATGAGAGGAGAACTCAAGAGTTGGTATATTGAGAAAGAAGAGCAGTACAAATAGTGCATGAGGTGAGTGACCAAAGTTAGGGTTAACCCCCACTATTATTGGTTGACCAATGTGGTGGGGGTCCAGCACAATAATTGTGGTTGCGCCAATTATTGGAGGAGCCAAACATTGGAGGGTTTGGCCACCAATGTTGGTTCCCCAACAATAACGGTCGCTTGGGTCGTGGGAACCCAACCAAAAGTTGGGAGACCTCCTGAATGTGTATACCCATATTTTGGGTGTACACTGTTAGGTCTAGCCTGATGCATGCTATAATCTAACACACCCCCATAGCATGATAAGGGCTAGACCAAACAACCCCTGAAGCACGGAACCGGTAGAGCGGTGACCTCGACAAGCAAGCGTCCAAGGGGAAGAGCGCTGTGGCAGATGATGTTGCACGTCAGCCGAGGAAGGGGGGAAGGGGCTGTTGCAAGTGAGGAGGCAAGCCAGCCAAGGGGTGCTGCGACGGTAAGGTCGCACGAGAGCCGGGACCGGGGGCTGCTGCAGGTGAGGAGGCAAGCCAGCCAAAGGAGGGGCTGCAGCGGATGGTGCGGCACACCCGCCGACGGAGGGGCTGCGGCGGATGGTGCGGCACGCCCGGGGGAGGGGGGAGGAGGGCTGGATGGCCCGAAGGAGGAGGAAGCGAGGGGGAGGGGGGAGGAGGGCTGAATGGCCCGAAGGAGGAGGAAGCGAGGGGGAGGGGGGAGGAGGGCTGGATGGCCCGAAGGAGGAGGAAGCGAGGGGGAGGGGGGAGGAGGGCTGGATGGCCCGAAGGAGGAGGAAGCGAGGGGGAGGGGGGAGGAGGGCTGGATGGCCCGAAGGAGGAGGAAGCGAGGGGGAAGGGGGGGGAGGGCTGGATGGCCCTTAGGAGGAGGAAGCGAGGGGGAAGGGGGAGGAGAGCTGGATGGCCCGAAGGAGGAGGAAGCGCAGGGGAAGGGGTAGGAGGGCTGGATGGCCCGAAGGAGGAGGAAGCGAGGTGGGGGGGGGGGGGGAGGGGGAGGAGGGCAGAAGCTGAATGACCCTTAGAAGGGGGGCGGAAGCGTGGTGACGATCCGAATGAGTTCTTTGACGGGCGGAATGCCCTTGGGAGCGGGATTGACGGGCGGAATGCCATAGGGAGCGGGATTGACGGGCGAAATGCCCTCGGGAGCGGGATGGACGGGCGGAATGCCCTCGGGAGCGGGATTGACGGGGAGAATTCCCGCGGGAGCGGGATTGACGGTCCAAATGCCCTCGGGAGCGAGATTGGCGGGCGGAATGCCCTCGGGAGCGAGATTGGTGGGCGGAATGCCCTCGGGAGTGGGATGGACGGGCGGAATGCCCTCGGGAGCGGGATGGACGGGCGGAATGCCCACGGGAGCGGGATTGACGGGCGAAACGCCCTCGAGAGCGGAATCTACGGGCGGAATGGTAGGCGCGGTCGTCGCGGGCGTCCCGCTGCTCGGCGCGTTCGTCGCGCGGGTCGGCGTGGACGTCCCGCTGCTCGGCGCGTTCGTCGCGCGGGTCGGCGTGGACGTCCCGCTGCTCGGCGCGTTCGTCGCGCGGGTCGGCGCGGACGTCCCGCTGCTCGGCGCGTTCGTCGCGCGGGTCGGCGTGGACGTCCCGCTGCTCGGCGCGTTCGTCGCGCGGCTCGGCGCGGACGTCCCGCTGCTCGGCGCGTTCGTCGCGCGGGTCGGCGCGTACAAGCGCCTCAAATGCCACGGGGAAAAACTTGAGGGAGGGGAGCAGGCTGGTGGGGCAAAGACCATGAGGCTGGCAAGAGGCCAAGGATTTCCTAGGACAGCATGGTGGCTGGAGGTTCCTAGGGGTGGCGTTAGCCAAAATAGCTCTGATACCATGTGAGAATCCCATAGTTGGGATGAGAGAAGAACTCAAGAGTTGGTATATTGAGAAAGAAGAGCAGTACAAATAGTGCATGTGGTGAGTGACCAAAGTTAGGGTTAACCCTGTGAAACAAGTGAACAGGAATGAAATGACTAAGTCAAAGTTGGGTACAAATACAACCCTAGAAAGCTGTACCCCATATGTGCTACCCCACTATAGCCTACAAACATGCATCAGCTATAATAATCTGACACACCCCCATAGGCAAAGTGGGGGAGAACAAGGGGTCACAAGACCAGTCAAGCAAAGCAAAGCAAAGCAAGCTCAGGGTGGATCACAAAGTCACCACACAGTCCGAGCACAAGAGCAGGGCCAGAGGCCAGTTCACATGCAGGAGTACAGACATATATATAAAACTAGACAAGCAAGAGCAGGTATATATATATATGTCACAGTACAAGTGAAGTCAAGAGGAGAGCAAGTGAGGCAAGACAGGTACAAGACCCAGCTGGGTGCAAAAGCGCTGATGGTCACAAGGCGCGAGTGCCTTGGTGAACACATCAGCAGTGTTGGCCTCAGAGGCCACGTACGCAAGTCGCAACTGACCACGCTGCTGCAGCTCACGAGCAAGGAAGTAGCGGAGAGCAATGTGCTTCGTTCTGTGCTCCAAGCGCTGCTCTCGACACAAGGCCAGCATGGCCTTGTTGTCTACGTACAGCACTGGAGGAGAACGAGGCGGCTCTCCAAGGTCAGTCAACAGGTAGGTGAGCCAGCGAAGCTCCTGTGCAGCCATGGCCCCGGCGTAGATCTCAGCCTCACAACTGGAGCCGAGAACCGAGGACGAGCGAGTAGACCGCCACGAGACAGAGCCGGAACCAAGGCTGAAGGTGTAACCCTGTGACGACCGCTGCGTAGCCTGGTCGTCAGCCCAAGAAGCGTCCGCGTGGCCGGTAAGGACCACTGGACTCCGCCCTCCAAGCACTAGCCCCATGCCCGACGTACTGCACAGGTAGCGCAATACCCTCTTCGCTGCAGCCATGTGCTCCGGTCTGTGTCTCCCAGGAGCAACATAGCGTGCAAGAATGCTCAGAGGGTATGCAAGGTCAGGTCGTGTGCAGGTCATCAGGTACATGAGGCAGCCAACAAGCTCTGCATACGGACCACTCGACTCTACGGACTCATCCGAAGGCAGAGCTGAGAGTGAGTGGCGAGTAGGCAGAGGAGTGGCCTGAGGCGAGGAGTACGTGAAGCCGAAGCGCTGAAGGACCTGCTGCACCATGTGTGACTGAGTCAAGGTAATGGTGCGGCGTGCTCTGTCCCGAGTGATCTGCAAGCCAAGGTAGCTGCGCAGTTCACCCAGGTCTGTGCACGTGTGTCTCTTCAGCAGCTCGGACTTCACGTAGGCGAGTCCAGCAGTGTCCGCTGTGGCAAAGACCAAGTCGTCGACGTACACGAGGATGTAGAACGGCGGCAGGGAAGTGTCGGTGCGAAGAAACAGCGACGGGTCAGCAGAAGAAGGAGCAAACCCAAGAGCCGCAAGCGTAGTCCTCAGTGTGTCGTGCCACTCACGCGGTGCCTGGCGGAGACCGTAGACTGGCCGTCGGAGGCTCCACTGGGTGCCAGGAGGGAAAGTCCCAGTGAAGCCAGGTGGACGGCAAAGCCAGATCTCCTCGTGCAGGCTACCCTGCAAGAACGCAGTGCTGAAGTCGAGAGAGTGAAGCTCGTAGTCGCGCTGAGCGGCTATGTGCAGCTGCACCCGAAGAGTAGTCATCTTCGGGGTGGGAGAGAAGGTCTGAAAGTAGTCAACTCCCTGCCGCTGACTGAAGCCACGAGCAACGTACCGTGCCTTGAAGACAGGTGGAGAGCCCGGCGGCCGCTTCACCCTGAAGATCCACATGCCACTGACGATGTTCGCCCCAGGAGGGGGAACCGCGTCAACGTAGGTGCCTGTGGACTTCCAGGAAGCCATCTCTGCATCCATAGCTGCCTGCCACTGAGAGGAGTAGGAACCCTCTACGGCCTCCGCGTAAGAACGCGGAGTCGGGATGTCTAGTGCATCCGGGTCTCCCTCAGGGGCAAGCAGTACAGACGCGAGATGAGGTGAAGCAGCCACTAGACACTGAAACTCCTCCTGCCTGTCCTCTAGGACGTCCGTGCCAAGAGCACACTCACCCCCGACGGACGGAGGACAGACAGACGCAGACTCAGCAACAAGACTAGCAGCGTAGTCGAGACGACAGCGAGCAGCAAAGTCGACGAGCTCAGCGACTAGAGCAGACGCAGCAGTGGACTCAAAAGAGGGGTCAGTGACGACAGTAGCAAGCAGACGCGTGACAGTAGGACTGGCAGCACGAAGAGAGTCCGACTCAGGGTCGGCAAGCGCAGGAAGAGAGGACTCAGGAGGAGAAGGCAAAGGGGCGCGCAGAGGAGCAGTGGACGGACGCAAAGACATCCGGTGCGTGCCAGGGACAGGAGGAGGACGCTGACGCGAACTGCGACCACTAGCGCGAGCAGCACGAACAGGCGACGCGGGACGAGACGCAGGCTCACGACGCTCAGCAAGACCTCCAGTAGGACCAGTGTAAGGAGAGGGAGCAGGCAGTGGAGAGGAAGGCTCCAGCAGGGACTGCGACTGGACAGGCAGTGGACCCTCTACTGGAGGAGAAAGACCAAGAACCTGCTGCAGGAGCGGAACGAAGTACGGCCGAGGCCGCGCGGCAGCTCCAGACTCAGCAGGGACAGCACCAGCACCCTCAGCGACAGCACCAGCGCCACCCACACCTCCAGCGGCAGGACCAACAGCAGTAGGCTCAGCACCAACGCCCTCAGCAGCTCCAGCTCCAGGAGGACCCGCAGGTCCAGCAGCTCCGGGACCGGCAGCACCCGCACCCTCGACGGTCGAAGAAGCTCCAGCTCCAGCTCCGGCAGCACCTCCAGACTCAGCAGCACGCCTCCAGCGGCGAGCGAACCACTCACGCAGCTCCTGTGGAGAGAGGGGCTCCCGGCGAGACGCAGCAGCAGGAGAAACCCCAGGCTCAGCAGCTCCAGATGCAGCACCCCCAGGCTCAGAAGCTCCCGACCCAGCACCCCCAGACCCAGCACCTCCAGGCACAGCACCCCCCGACTCAGCACCCCCAGGCTCCGCACCCTCCGCAGTAGCACCCCCAGGCCCAGCACCCCCAGCAGTAGCACCCCCAGGCTCAGCACCCCCGCGCACAGCACCCCCAGAGTCAGCACCCCCAGGCTCAGCACCCGCAGCAGCACCAGAGTCACCAGTAACCTCGACCGGGTCAACGGCGTCTACCTGGGACACACCTGAGGGGGCAGGAACCTGAGGGGGGAGGGGGTCTACCGGGGGGGGAACCGGCACAAGGAAGTCCGGGGGAGGGGGGAGGGAAGGAGTGCGGTAGGGGAAGAGACGGTAGAAGGGGACTGACTCGTCGAACGTGACGTCCTGGGAGGACAGAACACGACGAGAGGAGGGGTGGTAAAACTGCCACCCTGGGGCGTCAGTGGGGAAGCCAAGGAAGACACAGGGAGCAGCACGAGGGGACAGCTTGTCCGCAGACAAGTCGCGGACAAACGCCCGAGATCCCCAGACACGGAACACAGACGCATCGCCAACCTTCCCCGTCCACAGCAAGGCTGGGGACATCGCAGGCCGAGAGACCCGGGGGTGAAGGTTGAGCTGATGCGCCGCGTACCTCACCGCAAACGGCCACAGAAAATGGGGGGCAGCCGCATGCATCATGGACGTACGAGCGACATCCATGACCATGCCAATGCGGCGCTCAGCAATCCCATTTTGCTGTGGTGAGTCCGGAAGCGTGAAGGTCTGGCGAATCCCCCGTGCACGACAGTAGTCCCGCAGAAGGCGAGAAGAGAACTCTCCGCCTCTGTCCGAGTGCAGACGCAGAACAGGAAAGTCCGAGCCGAAGCTCTTCCTGAGGTGGAGACGAGCCTCGCGGATCCAGTCGATCAGCACCTCAGTGACCGCACCCTTGCTGCGCAAGGGGAGGACTGTGGTGTAACGCGAGTAGTCGTCAACCACCAACAGGAAGTAGCGCTCGTAACCCTGCCCACGGACGGGGGCTGGGCCCCACACATCCATGTGAAGCGTCTGCAGGGGAGCCTCTGTCGGGGGGAAGTGGGAGGAGTGAGGAGTAGCCCGGAGGCGACCCTCGACACAGGGGACACAGGAAGGTCCTGGCCCGGAGGGGAGAGGAGGGAGAGACTGGGGAAGACCAGAGACAAGGACACGGGAAGCCATGCTCCGAAGACGGGGCAAGGAGGGGTGGCCAAGACGGTGGTGCCACAGGAGAGTCTCGTGAGACAGGAGGCGACAAGAACAGGGGGCAGACTCAGGACCTGACCGGGACGCAGCAGCAAGCACCTGACCTGACGCAGCCACCTGACCAGACGCAGGGACAGGAGGAGACTCAACGGTCAGGGTGTAGAGACTCGACCCCGGCCGACGCGAGAACGTGGCCAGGTGTCGGCCTGTGCGTGCCTCCGTGCAGTGGGTCACCCGCTGACTCGCAGGAGTGAACTGGTGAACCCCCACATCCTGCAGGTCCGCTCCACTCACCAAGTTCGTAGAGAACGAGGGAAGGTACAGACCAGACAGGGTGCCCGAAGGGGCAGCCGGACACGGGAGGACAGTGGAGAAGTGAGACAGGACAGGACCCCCAGAGGGGTCAGCAAGGGAGACCGCAACCGGCCGGCCGAGCGGCGTAAGGGTAGTGCGGTCTCGAAAGAAGGAGCGAGAAGCCCCGGAGTCAAGTGTGAAAGTGAGGGAGGACGAGGACGACGCAGTACCTGAGAGCGCAGTCTCACCAGTACCTGAGAGCACAGACGCACTGGCACCTAGAGCAGCAGCCTCACAAGCACCTAGCGCAGCAGTACCAATGCCCGGGTCGGGCTG